GGCTGAACTAAAAATTTACATTAAAAACTAAACTAAACCTTACACACAATAAAACATACAAAACATACCTGTAAACAAAAGAAACAACATTTAAAGATTATTACCGGGCATGTCGATTCCCGTATTATATTTAAGTACTATTTATTATTAACTAGCTTCTGCCCGCGACTTCGTACGCGCAATCCCATTTTGCCCCCGTTCCCGTTCGTGATTTTCGGTAAAAAGTAAAAAAGTATTCTATAAAAAGTATCCTATGTCCGTCTCCTGGTTCTAAGCTACCTCCCTGCCAATTTTCATCTAAATCGATTGAGGCGTTCTTAAATTATAAATAGTGTAACTAACACGACTTTCTTTTATATATATAGATTTGTCTTGTCTATTTAAATATTTGTGACATAAACGTCCATTTGACATCCTTTATTTTACCTTCTCTACCGATAAAGAAATAATGGAAGTGATAGCTCCATCTATCATCCTTCTAAATATACTTCTACTTTACCGACAGAGACGTGTAGAAAATAAATAAAGAAACCTTATTTGTTTATATTCATGCTAGCGCACCCGACAGACGTTGTCCTGCAAATAATAATAGGTATAGATAAATAACCTAGATACCAACTGCAGCGCCATCTGCCGGGTTGATTTGTGAATCTAAACCATTCCCAGATCCCCTTGAACACACACAAAAAAAAAAAATCAAAATCGGTCCAGTCGTTTGAGAGAAGTTCAGTGACATACATACTCACAGAAGAATTATATATATAAAAGAAGATAATCAGAAAGCGTTAAGCTGCCAAGCTATCAGGAGTTACGCGTTTTATCTCAATAATAAATAAAATCAACGAGAACGAGAGTCAACCATAAAAGATAGCCTAGATATGCTGTCGTGCTATATTTTTTTTCTGTATAATTTTAAGAAGAACATTTCCAGTTTCCACCGTACATTATTTCTGTGTAGTTTTAACCACTAAGGTACCACACGCGATGGAAGCTTAAAAAATGGAGTAACTTCTCCCGTTTTCCCAACATTTCCCTTCATTGTTCTGCTCCTATTGATTGTAGCGTGATGAAAAGTATATTATAACCAGCTCAGTAGTGTGTAAAAAATTGTACCAAGTTTCTTTACAATCTGTCGAGTACTTTTTGTTTCTATAACGTTTATGCAGACCGACAGACAGTGACAGAAAAATTTACTGATTCCATTTTTGGTATCAGCATGGATCCCTTATCACCCCCTAATAGTTATTTTGGAAATATATTTCATCTCTCTATATATATAGAGGGTCAATTCTATACATTATGTAGATTATATTATGTGTATCACGTATCATAATGATATAAGTTAATGGTCATGAAATTGGAAATTAGGTATCTATTAAGGTCACTTATAATCTACATAATTTTTTTATACAAATTAATCAAGCCCAAACACAAGGTAGTTAATATAAATTATAAACCGCTGAGGAGTTTTCTCGACTGTCTGTCGGGTCCATCATCAGGTCGAGGCCAGACCATCAAATTGTATTGTTTAAAAAAATCCTAATTGAAATAAGTACATAATACACGCATTATTCGCCCCTAGAATATTCGAAAGTTCACCTCGGTTTCCCTAGGATCCCACCAACAGGTCCTGATCAGGAAATGGGACCCTCTCGGGAGTATACCCTTTCAAACAAAACAAGAATTTTGGAAATCGGTTCACAAATGGCGGAGTAATGCGCAAACAAACAAAAAAAAATACAATCTGCCGAACATAGTACCTCCTCCTTTTTTCGAAGTCGGTAAAAAAGGATGATGTTATGTTATGTATAAAATGTATATATTAAACTTTGTATAGATTTATTGTTTATGTTTACTAACCCAAATGTTTTGCCTTTCCTGTTGCTAACAACTACCAGAAAGTCAAAGTACGACAGTTCATTAATCAGCCGTTACTAGTCGACACTGGCAGTATAGTCAATAACACTGTATCAGAGACTCAGTTACCATCCAAGAAAGAAAAAAGGAGAAATATCTAATTATGGAATACACAACGTACGGCGGTACAGCGACAAAATCTTATAGTGGGTCGTGCCTGGCCCTATAAACCTCGTAGGACCATTATAAACAAAAACTTCTGTAACATAATTAATTTGTATATTTCAATAACATTTTTATCCTTAATTAACCAAGAAATATTCAAAATAATTAGTGTAGGGTTGCTGGTTATGAAATTAAAGCCCCGGTGATCTTGATGATTATTTACTCATTAGCAACTTCCTAATCAATTTACTATTAACTTATCAAGATTGTTGCAACCCTAAGTAGAGGGATGAAAGGGACTGCGTGGCTATCGCATTTCAGACCTCCCCTAGATGGCTAACTCTAAAAGACCGCTAGGCTATTGAACTATTGGAGTTAGTCATACTTAGGTTCAGATTAGGCTGCGTCGCTACCGAACTCTGATCCTCTAGCTAGTGATTGTTCGAAGACACCTCTGCTTATAAAGGCGAAGGGTTTGTATGTGTGCTCAACCTTCATAATAGTCGTTTGTAGTTGTGGTTGTTTTGTATAAATTACTAGCGACCCGCCCCGGCTTCGCACGGGTGCAATATGCATGTATTATACATACAAACCTTCCTTAAGAATCACTCTATCTATTAAAAAAAACCGCATCAAAATCCGTTGCGTAGTTTTAAAGATCTAAGCATACATACGGACATACAGCGAAAGCGACTTTGTTTTATACTATGTATTGATTGATGATACTAGGTAGATGGCGCTGTGTGTTCGTTACACTTGTAATATAAACACCGGGAAACATTGTAGGTTTATTGAGCTATATGAAGCTGAAAGCTATTAATGGGATCCTAAAAATAAATTACACAAAAATAAAAATGTTGTTAGATTAAAAATAATTGGTATTATTATAATATTAAATTAAGTACCTATCTCAATTAATTTGTTCTATTGAGTTCTAAATAAATAAATAGCCGCGGCAAATACCGTCTCAATAATCATTTTGAGTACGAGTTGCGGCTGTCGAGAATGAACACAGACTGATCGACCTACAGACGTGTGGACAGCTCCGCGCCGACGCATCTGGCGAGGCATAAATAATTGTCAGTAGAATATACAGAATTATTGTTCTGTCTAAATATAAATATTTATTCCAAATTGACTCCTACAGTAAGAGGACTAAGACCTAAACATGACTTTACCATCAAATGTTGGTCGAGACGCTGTGTTGTCATTCAATATAACTCGGACAATTTAAGTAGGCATGCGTTAGTATGAATTGCACTTTTCACATTGTATATCTTAGTTGCAATAGCGTTCGAAAAATTTTAAATTGAAAAGAAGCTGTGTGCACTTTTTGTGAGGATTGTCACCAAATATAGGTATTGTAAAAGTGTGCCCTTCAGGGGCTTGTGTGCCGTGCATGAGCTTGTGTGCTCTGCATAGACTGAGTTGAGACAGCGAACTTTCGTTACCTTAAATAACGTACAATACTTTATTATAAAGTACGGGTGGCAACCCTAGCTGTGGTGGAGGCCCGTTTGGCATGAGTATGCATTTATTTTTATCATAAGGTTAGTGCATTTTTATTATGGACTGTTCCATTTTACTTGGAGAAGTAATCAAATTAATTGGTAATCAACGAAATTCATATGGGATAAGAACATTTTCAATTAATAACGTCAGATGTGGTGGACGTATAGAGGAAACACAAACAATTAATCAATACTTTTAAGCACGTAAGTACTAACAGTTCGATATTCATGGCAGAAATATCGGAGATACCTAGAATGTTCTCCAGGAGTTGTTGAAAATTGGATACGTCAGCCGCTCGCGCCCCTATCTTGGAAAAATGGCAGCCATAAACATTTTTTACAATACCTCGTTTTTACCTAAAAACATTCCGTTCCTACTCCTGTACCTCGACTCGGAGTCCGCCAACTTGTAAATCCTCCGCGGCTTCGTATTTGGCAGTCTCCTGCCCCAACTGTTTTACTTTAGGCGAATTTATATTGGACATATGTCATAGCATTAGTTTTGAACGAAAATTCTTATTTAATGAATCTGACAAATCGCATCGCTAATAATTCGGCCACAATTTTGATTCACGGCGTCTCAGCAACATTCATTGATAAACTGAAACCGTTTAAACAATGGTCTCCCAAATCTGTCAATCTTGAAGTTTGAGCAAAACCTCTTACGTAGAGAAGTTTCATAGACCAAGATAGGACTGTCACGGGATATACTACTCTGTCTAGAGAGTACCGGGAAAAGATCAATAATACACAAAATGTATGTTATTCATCCAAATTAATTTTATCACCTTCAAAGTATGCTCCTTTAGAAACGATATACTTGTGCCAACGAATAATCCATTCATCAAAACATTTTTAACGCTGCTTCCGGAATTGAGTTCAGTTCTCACCGCGAATTCTCCTTTATGTCTTCTATCGATTGAAAACGGGTGCCACGAAGTGGTAATTTGAGTTTAGGAAAAAGAAAAAAGTCAGCAGGAGCTGTATCTGGTGAATATGGTGGTTGCTGGATGGTATTTGTTGAGTGTTTGGTCAAAAATTTGTTCACAATGACAACATAGTGCGAAGGCGCATTGTCGTGGTGCAAAATCCAAAAATGTTCTTTCCACAAATCTGGCCTTTTTCTTCGAATTTGCTCTCTTAAACGCCGCATAAAGCTCAAATAATATTATTTATTTACCGTTAGACCTTCCGGTAAGAATTCCGAGTGCACAACACCGCGATAGTCAAAGAAAACAGTCAACATGACTTTGACTACATATTGATCGACTTTGGCGTGGTTTTTTCGGTTTCGGTTCAGTTGGAAGGCGCCACTCCGAAGCTTGTTGACTAGTTTGCATGTCAAACTCATAAACCCACGTCTCGTCACCAGTAACAATGCGTTTCATGAATTTTGGGTCCGAACTGACTCATTCTAGCATGTCCTCAGCGACTTTCATGCGATTGAGTTTTTGGAGAAAATTCAAATCTTTTGGGACTAGCCGAGCCACAACAAGTTTCATACCCAAATGATTAGTTAAAATGGTATGGATCGTTTCGTGAGGTACCGAAAGTTCGGCGGCTATCTCTTTCGGAGTTGAATGGGGATTTTCAGTCACTATTTTCTTCAATTTTGCGATGTTAACTTCAGTTGCAGACGTTGACGGCCTACCAGAGCGAGGCAAATCTTCCATCACATCTCGACCGCTTTTGAACGCTTTGAACCACTCATATGCACGAGTTTTTGATAAAGTCGATTCACCGTAAGCCTTCTGTAACATTTTCAGTGACTTCGAACACGAAATTCCATTGGAGATGCAAAATTTAAGACAAACTCTTTGTTCGATATTTTTGTCCATTATGAAATTCGCAATACACACTATATATGATATTACTAAAACCAGCACTGTATTTAATATAAATAACAGATGCATAAACAAATCATCCATTCCCGATACTTTTTTGACTGAATATACTTACATGAAGAACTTACTCCATCTTTCTCTTTTCAGCTCTGTTATTTGTGACCTTGAAGTATAACAAACTAATGAAAACGTAACAAAGAATTTAAAATGGTCGTTATTCGTTCGTATATAATTTGGAAATTATGTGAGTATAATTTTGTTTGACTGCCTAGTTGGGCCAGTGGTCGCAAGTGCGACTACGGGGCAAGGGGTCTCGGGTTCGATTCCCGGGTCGGGCAAAGTATTACTGGGTTTTAAAAAAAATCTCAGTAGTACCACGGAGTCTGGATTTGTCCGGTACATGGCAATAGGCTCACCCCCTATTACTTAGGATTCATAACATAAATAGTGAAAAGTGGGTGTTACATTGTACAGTGGCATAATGTGCTCTTCTGCCTACCTCCTCGGGAATAAAAGGCTTGATGTTGTGTTATGGTAATTTTGATTCTATGTGTAGTACATAACATGTGTCATCATTTCAACTAGGGGACTACACTTTTTAGAGACTGGGTAGCAACGCTCACTAATGAAGCTGAATCTTTTAGGTCGGACTCCTATTATTTTTTATGTCTGTGGCCATCTATTTGATTTGAAAAATTCAATATTTCAGTTTTGTTTAATATCTGCATAAAAAGTGTAATTGGAATGCGTCAAACAAAAAAATGGAATAAACCAACAGATTGGAGTCAAACACCACCAGTTGAAAACTCAATCGATTTTGATTCGCCATCAACACTAAGCGTGGTCAAACATGCTACAAGGCAGGGTGGTAACAAAAATAAGTAAGTAATAATCAAAATGTGTAGTTGATTCCATCTAAACAGAATGCACATGTAGAAGACTTGATTGCAGATCTCCTCAATAAACTAGACCGCCTTTTAAATAACTGCATTCGATTCGTTTTCAACCTGTGTAAATACGACTATATCTAGAAGAAAAGAAAGAAGAAAAATCATTTATTCTACAGTAGGCACGCACACAGATACAAAAAAAAAATACAAAATCTCTGCATATATCCGGTGCAACTAAAGTAGTTGCCCATACGTCAGCGCAGAAAACAAAGGGCGTTAACCACTTTATTCTCTCTTCTTAATTCCCCTACTTCTCCTAGCTATCTATCCTCCTATTTTCATTTCATACGTGCAAACCACAGCAAGTATTTTCGTTCCACTAAAAATCTTCTGCGATATCCCACACACCGGACCGACTTCCTTCACTCTTCATACTTTGTTCAATCCATTTTGCTGTGGAATGCGCTGCCCACAATGCCCACGGATGTCAGCTGGCTAAGTTTTAAAGTTAAGGTTCGTGAACTACTGCGTAGGGAACGGACAGATGCATCATGTACTTAATTTATCATTTTAGCAATTGTATTTAATATATAATTATATAGTTGTATCTTCAATATATTTATTTACTACTATATGTAGTATTGTTATTTAGTAATATTGATAATGCATCTTATATAATTTACACTATACCTATATATACGGATATGTGTATGTATTATACAGTTATGGATAATTATGAATTTCTTTATATAGATTTATTTTGTGTCACATAAATTAAATTATAATACCTACTGTTGCACATCTCTTAATTACCCCATGGTTGACTGTTAGAGAATGCCACCCGGCATTAAGTCCGCCATCGGTTGTTATATACATAAGCGTAAATAAATAAAAAAAATAAACAAGATAAGATATAAGAAACCGATAAAAACACTAAATAACGTTCGAATTTTTTTGACCATTTGGAGGCCGAGTCGCCCCCTTCCGTAGGATGCTCATTAATTAGTTAGGTAATTTTAATTAGGTGAGATTATGGTATGACCACCGACTGAGCAAAAACGTGGCGCCAACTTGGGTGTCTTCAAGTCCCAAGTGAACAAGGTGCACATAAGTATGCATGCTCCATCGTCGGCCACTTCATTGCTTACCACCTGCAAGTAGGTGGCAAACATATGTGTCCAACGGTCGCCTGCCATCTCAATCCCACGGCATGACGATGCGGCGGCTGGGGGGCAGGGGTAGTTGGCTTGGTACTCTGTCTCGCTTTGTTTTTTATTGATACCTGGTTATTCTTCTTTTGTTTACCTAATGTATTTTTCTTATTGAGATAACGACCCGGTTATACTTTATATTGCATTCACTAGCTGTTGCCCGCGACATCGTCCGCGTAGAATAATGACTTCTAGCAGAATTTAGGCTTTTGAATTAGTCTTTTCCAAGGAACATTTCACGGTAACAAATGTCGTCAGTATAGATTCAGTACCTAGGTTATATATCATCAATAGCTGAAAGACGTCCACTGCTAGATAAAGGCCTCCTCCTTAATCCTCAACGTCGAATTATAACTCGCCACCTGCAACCACTGGCTCCCCGCAACTCAGGCGATGTCGTCGGTCTACCTAGCGGAAGGCCTGCCCAAGCTTCGTCTTCCGATCCGTGGTTTCCACTCAAGGACTTTCCTGGCCCATTTGCCGTCAGTCCATCGGGCGGCGTGGCCTGCCTATTGCCACTTCAGTCTGTGGATTTTGTGAGCTATGTCAGTAACTCTAGTTCTTTGGCGAGATTCCATATTTCGGATTTTGTCGAGCAAAGAAATCCATAGCTTTCTCCATCGAGCGCTGAGCGACTTTGTTCTTCTCGAAAAGGCCGGAGGTCAGAGGAGTCAGTACCATACATCATTACTGGCAATACACACTGGTTAAACATCCTGGTCTTCAAGCACTGCGGGATTGTTGATGAGAAGATTTCGCATAACTTCCCGAACGCTGCCCATCCAAGTGAGCCGAGAGATTCTTCGGGCGACGTTTTAGTCCAAGTTGGATATACCTAGCTGGATAACCTGCCCTAACTATGTATAATGGTCTACAACTTTGAGGATATCGTTCCCAACGATATCGTACAGGTGCAACATAGATGCTTAACATGATTTTGGTCTTGTCTATATTCATTTCTAAGATTAAGATTATCTGTACTATATTCATGGTTTCAAAAAATAAACAATCCCACAGGGTTTAAACCGTACTGTGCTTGCCTCGTGATGTTTCGGTGACTAAAACTATTCTATCTCCTTTCCCGGGTTGCAAACCAATTTTGTACCGCATTTCAAGCAAATAGGTACTGTGATTAAAAAGATATACGAGTGCTGGAATTTTAACGCATATCTCCGTTGCCTGGGATTTTCCCCGACATTTTCGGGATAAAAACTATCATACTTCGTTTCCTAGATCTCAAATTACCGCTGTACCGAATTTTACTCAAATAGGTTCAATGGTTTAAAAGGTCTGGTATCAAAGACAGTACGCATAGTTCCTGGTCTCGTAGGATTTCCGGATTGAATACTTTTAGACGTCCGTTCCTGGGTCTCAAACCATCGTTATAGTAAATTCCAATGAAATAGCTTAAAAGGTAGAGAGTTGAGATATTTTAACGTGTCGTTCCCATTCCCATGAGATATCTGAGATAAAAACTATAATTATATCCTTACTCGGGTTTAAAACTATCATTGTACTCAATTTCACTCAAATAGGTTCATTGGTTTAAGACATAGACCGTCTTATTACAAAACCCGATCTATTTTTAGTACCAGGATTAATACTAGGTTTAAACCATGACTGAATAAAACGTTATTATAAAACAAAGTTTATCACTAGTTCCGGAACTATCTATGGTACTAAAGTTAAACCGCCGAGACCCCTTTTTTTTTTTTT